ACAATTAATGTCACATAAAAATAATAAAATATATTAAAAGTTTAAGATGTAAGGTTTCACATAAATAATATCGAAAAAAAACATATAAAAGATTCAATTTTTTTTTTTTTAAAAAAATTAAGTATGAAACATCGATAAAATCATTATAAGGACAAATAACAATGATGTAAACTCAATTCTGTTAAACAACGGCCGTTGTTAAAATTATGGTTTCAGTCCCTCCATCGTGAAAATTTATGATGTCTTTGACTTCTGTTAACTGGGTCCACCTCTTTTGGAGTTTTCTTGCTGACATGGCTAAGATGGTTACATGTCTTTTTGTAATAGATGGATTGTACATGATGAGTAGTAAATTCTTGACTAACGATACTGTAATGAATGTACGTTTCTAGATTATGCTGCTAACTTAAAAATCAATTCATGCTATAAATTCCCATCTCGATTTTGTTTCAAGTTTAATTATGTTATGCTAATTTGATTTTATTTTATTAAAATTGGATCTGCTTGGTTTCTGAGAAATTGAAGGACTAGAAAAAAACAACAATTGTCTTTGTGTCGTATTTCCATATTATATATTTCCTGTTATCTATTAGAGGGTATATTTAATCAGATAATTGTTTCAAAAGAAGCCAATATTTTTCCTTTCTCATTCTTTAATGCTCGTGCTTTTGTAGTTATTTTACTATTAATTTATCCTTGGCGTATGCACATACCATGCTAGTGTTCTTTTTATCTTTTCCAGCTCTCTCTCGATTTCTTCTAGATTATGATTTTTGTTATTTAGTATTCAAAACATTTTTATGTCTCGTTTTTTGTAATGCCTTTACATGCCTTGCTAGTTTACCACGAGAAAGCAAATATACCCCTTCCCCAAGACAATATAACCTACAACCTTCACTCTGAAAACAACATAGCAATGTCCTTCAAGTTTGAATCATCTTCTAATTCTTACTCTAGAGTGGGATACAGTTATGACAGCGTTTTTAAGTTTTTGAGAAGAGGATACTCGCAAGAATTTTACAGACCATCTTTATAATGCAATAGTCCAAGTAGGAATCCATACATTTCCTGATGATGACTAACAACTCATTAAGGCAATATGGGAATGAAGGTTTTTATAGTGGTCTTCTCAAAAAGGTATGCTTCATCAACATGGTCTCTTCATGAACTAGCAAAGATTACGGAGAGAAAAAAATACCATTAGCCAGATTGTTCTATTTGTATTTTATGATATTGAACCATCTAATATTTACAAACAGATTGAGAGTTTTGCAGAAGCCTTTAAGGTGCATGAAGAACGCTTTAAAGAAGAAATAGAGAAGGTCAACAAGTGGAGAGGAGCTCTAAAGGAGGCGTCAAATCTATCTGGATATCCTCTGAAGCATATGACAAATGGGAATATCGTTTTATTATAAGATCCACATGCAGACCTCAATAAGAACTCGATTTTTATGAATAGTTATTAAAGATAATCTATTAGCTTTGTTTTACAATATTAAATAGTAGCAAACACTTTTGAACATATTGTTCATTATGCTGTCATTGAGGAGTTGCATTTACATATCTATGAACATGCATGAATCAACATTTATCCAAAATATTGTTGAAGATGTGTCAAAAAAGTTGAATCGCAAATACTTTTACGTTGCCAAGCCCTCAATAGGCATTGATTCTCGAGTTGATAATATGCTTGCTTGGCTAAGAAATGGAAAAGATTCTGTCCGTATCATTGGTATACATGTGATGCCAAGAATTGGGTAGACAACTAGAGCAAAAGTTGAATTTAATCAACTCTACAATGGAATCGAGGGAAGTTGCTTTCTCAAGAATGTTAAAAAAAATCACAACAACCTAGCTAATGGTTTGGTTCAATTACAATATGAGCTTCTTCGTGAAATTTTGAGATGAGAAAGTTGTAAGTTCAATAACGAAGATAGAGGAATCAATTTGATTAAAGAACGACTCTGCCACATAAGAATTCTCGTTGTACTTGATGACGTAGAGCATCAGGAAAAGCAAGATGCATTGTTGGTAGAGGATTGTTTGTTTGGTAGTGTAATAATCATCACGACTAGAAATCAACATCTACCGAATCCATATAAGGTAGTAGTAAAATATCAAACTGAATTATTGACTGAAAATGAGTCCCTCGAGCTTTTTAGTTGGCATGCCTTCGAGGACACCTGTCCACCAAAGGATTATATGAGCTCTCGAACAAAGTAGTTGATTACAGACATTAGAGAAAATTGACTTTTAAAGGTTGATGTGAGGAGTATATATATCTAGTGGAAAAGTTTTTTTTTTTCTGACTAATAAAACTGATTTTTTTAATATTTTTTTATGGTGATCTAACTGTGTTGATTGAAGTATATTATTGGCTAATTTAAGTGATTATTTCAAGATAAATTTCTTTAACACAACTAAAACAATAAAGCTATTGCACCTCATATGTATTTGTGCTTTTTCATAGCTGGGGTGGCTCCAGCTTTGAAATCCAAATCAAACTTGGATTCGGACCTTTGGAATCCCAATCAAACTTGGATTTGTTGCACTTTTGACGGGTCACTGTCCGGACTAAGTCTTGGTAGCAGCCCATCATTCCATTCAGCATTAGCCAAGATGAGTGACAAGTCATTTAAACGAATGAGAGTACATTATAAATTAGCCCTCAAGTTTTCACAAGGAAATAAAGAGTCCCTTTCATTTCAATAACTATTAATTAGTTCCTGTAGTTTAAATTTATTTGTAACTTAATCTTTTTTATTATTTTTCAATTTTTTTAATAAATAGAAATAAAAATAAAAATATAAAAAAATTGATGAGAAAAATGAATGATCTGTGGCTTGCTTTACTTGTGCATATAAAATGTTTGATAGTCATATAATTTTCCATAAAACAATTAAGTGAACATAACTATTGCATTGACTGACTCTTCGTTGTGGAAGTGATGATTTATGGATGCGCAAATACCATTAAAAAGAAGACATGTTTTGCTGCTAACAAAAAAGGAAAAATAATAATAAAAAAATAAAAAAATTAATTATCGTTCAAAAAGAAGAAATTAATTACCATAAAAATGCAGATACAAATACAACCAACATTTCAAAATCCCAAACTCTGCACATTTTTGTTTTTTTTTTTTTTTTTTTTCATTTTTGAGTTATCTAGTATTTGATTCATTGCCATAGTGAATAACAATAACTCTCTTGAAATATTATGAAGTTATAGAGACTACCTAAAAATTTGAAAATATACAAGAACCCCTTCAATTGTTTAACAAAATATTATAGAAATACTTTTTATACTCAAAATGCCCTTAATTGCTATTAAAAATATAATTAAATTAAAAAAATTGAAAATTAGAGAAAAACTATTTAAAGAAAAATATTTTAATATATAAGCAATATAAAATTCACTAAATCAATTTTTTGGTTTGGATTTTTTATATTCTTTCTCTAATCTATTAATGTTTTTTTTTAATTATATTTGTTAAATAATAAGATGAGTATTTTGAATACAAAAGGAGATTTTTGTGAAATCTTCAAACTTTTTGATGGTCTCTATAATTTCATGTTACCTCAATAGGGTTATTGTAATTTATGCCAAGGTTAAAATCACAACATCAACCGATCCTTTTTTATTAAGTAAAAACCAATTAAATAAATCAACAAGTAATTTAATTTTGCAATACATATAATAATAAAAAAATTTAAAGAGGAAATTCATAAAATAAAAAATCTAAAAAATATGATAATTATTAGATCAAATACCGACTCAAATACTCTTTTATATATATAAATTGATATAAAGATTGAATTGTTTGAAAATTTATTCGTGAAAGGTTATTGCGGATTAAGTAATCTTTCTAGATAATTCGGTAGTCATGATGCCCTAATAGATGCCAATCTTGATTTATGTATCGAGCGATAAAAAAGTGTCTTTTATTTCTCAATAAATTACCAACATATCTAGGAGCCTATTGAGTCACACATATAAGTTTAAACATTCACCCGGAGAAAGATAAGCTATGAATTTGAAAAAAGTTTCTTAATTTGGAAATTAGTTTCCAAAAAGAGGAATCAATTTCCTAATTTGAATATCAATTTTCTAATTTAAAAGCCAGTTACCTAAATTAAAAATTAGTTTCCTAAAATGAAAGTTAGTTAAAATCGGTTTCCTAAAATTAGAATTAGCTTTTAATTCAAGTTTAATAAATTGCAAGGTTAGCTTAAAAAATTATTTTCCGATATGGAATACCCGACATAACTTATTTGGATAGTCTAAATTAATTGTTGAGTTATTGAGCCAAAGGAGTTTGGAGCAATATGTTTAAGTGAAAGCTTGCAAGGGATATTTTAAGTGGAGAAGTATTTTTGAGAACTCAAGGTAAAAATTCATTAAACCAAATTCGAGTTTATAATGATAAGATCCATCAAAACCACATAAGTTACAACTCATTGACGAGAAAATGAGAAGTGGTCGAATATATAAAGAGAGAGTGAGAGAGAGATGTAATTTTTTCTAACGAAAAGAAATTGTAACACCCTCCCTTGGAGAAAAATTATGCCATCTTCCTTGAGGGATTTCTTGTGAGGAAAATAAAAATAAAAATACATAGCGAGAAAAATTAGAGCCGGCATTCTAGATCTTTCCGCCACTTCTTGTGTTGGTATTTAGCTACGTGGATCATCTATAGAGACCGAACATTTAGAGGATACAATCTACAAATTAGATATTATGCTACAAGAGGTAACATCTAATCCATCTTGTTAATATATAGTTAGTTGATTCAACGGTTGATTTTGAAACTTTAGATGGAGGAGAACAAATTTTTTTATTTATTCCACACTTCCATAGGATGCATGCATGATCCTTCAATAACCTTGTATGGATTGGGGTTTTTATGAAAAATAAAAACAACGGTATTCAATTATTTCAAAGGTCGATGGGAATAAATTTTTGGGGTTACATCTTAGGTGAGTTATATAAGAAAAGGTGAGATGGCAATTGAAGAATATTGTAGAGAGGAATTGGAGCCGTATCCGGAACTATGGAACCATGACAGAAATGATTTAGCGAGTGAAGTGAAAGAAATTGGGGTCCATGTAATTGTAGAGAAGCCGCATTCATCAAAGTTCGATATGAGTAAATTTTTGGGGTTACATCTTGGGTGAGTTATGTAAGAAAAGGTGAGATAGCAAAAGAAGAATATTGTGGAGAGGAATTGGAGCTATATCCGGAAATATGGAATGATAACAAAAATGATTTGGCGAGTGAAGTGAAAGAAATTGGGGTCCATGTAATAGTAGAGAAGCCGTATTCATCCGAGGAGTCGAATGGAAGTGGGAGTGGGATCATGACATTGACAAGCTACAAGGAACAACATCTTCTGCCGATGTTGGAAAGGGGGATGAGATTGATAGCCAAGGTGGAAGAGATTTAGTGATACCTAATTTTACTTAAAAAAGCTTAAGTATATTGCATTATGAAAGTGATGCCAAATACTACATACCATGATAACCACAACCAAATTGTTTTTTATTTTGTTTAAGGTGTTTATATGTGCATCAAATAGTAAAGCCCTAAAAAATAAAACCCTATGATCAAAACTAGGTACGGATTTGTAAGGAACTAGATTAACTTTTAGGGAAGAAGGACATGTAACAACAAATAAATTTTTAGTCATGGTACGAATTTAAAAGATCAACCAATAAAGTCTGAATTCATTGAACATAGTTTGGAGATTGAAGCGAGAAAAGTTGGATGTTAAGGCCGGCTAGAGGATGTTAAAAATGTGCCCGATTCAACTAGGGCTCTCATAATCAATGATCAAAACTAAAGGTTGTAATTTTTTTTCCAAATTAATGAGTAACGAGAAAATCACCTCATGCAATGTGCGAGATAATACTAAAAAATCTAAATTATGCATGATAAAAATTCTAAATATGAATTGAAAGTTTATATATAAAAAAGAGTAAATAGATTTAATTCAACAAAAAAAATATAATGATGGATTAAAAAATAAATTGATTCTTAAATATAAATATTTTTTTAATAAAAAAGAGAGATAAAAGAGTGCACCTAGTATTAAGCATTCAATACTATTTATTTGATCTCTCGTCGTCGGTAATGCTTTTACATGATTTACCAATAGTTTTTTTTTCTCTAACTAAAGAATACATGAATCAAGTCGACGGACATAAGCTAGCCTAAGAAAAAAAAATTAGAATGACAAAATTAATTTTTTGATGTGCTTCAACTTTTGGTCCATGTGTCGAGTTGATGTATGAATAAACACGCTCTCGTTTTTTTTCTTATTGAACATATATAGAGTACTAGTATATATAAGAGAGGTCTATCTCTTGAGATAATGACAAGTACGTTAGTTTTGCCTAGATATATGCAACCGTGACTCCTATACATAGTGAACTCCTAGTCTTTCATATATATTCAAACTAGGAAATAAAAACAGAGACATCTATATCTCCCAATACTCCCCTCGAATAGGATCCGGAGGATTGATGGATCCAAGCTTGCTCGAGAGTCCGTGAAACTAGGCGGAAGGCGACACTTTGGTGAACACATATGCAAGTTGGTCACTAGTTCGCACATAATGGGTATTGATAAGCTTAGACTAAACTTGTCGACAAATATAGTGACAATCCATTTCAATGTGTTTTGTCCTCTCATGAAACACCGGATTGGCTGTGATATACATGACGGCTCGATTATCACAAAAAAGTGTCATCGGAGTAATGTATGGGCAACCCGGATCTTCAGAAGACCTTTAAGCCATACAAGTCGATGTGGCCACGAGCACGATACTCGGCTTCGGCACTTGGAACAAGCTATTACATGCTATTTTTTGTTTTTCCAGGAGACTAAATTACCACCAATGAATACACGATGAATCGGTAGATCAACGATCAAGGTATTTCCAGCTCAATTTGAATCGAGTATACCCCATAATGTTAGTGTGCTCGTTTTTAGTCATTACTATCCCACGACCAACTGTTCCCTTCAAGTAGCGTAAGATACGTTTCACCATACACAAATGATGAATAGTTGGTGCATGCATATGTTAACTGTCAAGACTTATAAAAAAAGAAATGTCGAGCCGCGTGATAGTCAAATAGATAAGCTTTCCCACAAGTTTCGATAATAACTAGGCGAATAAAGAGCTTTTCCCATTGACTCAAGCTTCAACTTACCGTCTAGAGGAGTAGTCTGCAGGTTTAAGATGTAACATACTAGTGTTTTAAAACAAATCCAAAATGTATTTACACTAATTAAGAAAGAGCCCTTTCTTTGGAAGTTGCCATTTCAATGCCGAGAAAATATTTTAACGAACCAAGGCCCTTAATGGGAAATTGATGCTAGAGATTCTTTTTCAACTAGGTAATCGAATCAGCATTATTCCCGGTGATGATAAGATCATTAACATAAATCAACACCATTAGTTTATCAGCCTTCCCTAGTCAAACATATAATGAGGAATTAGCAGAGCTCCTTGAAAAACCAAGAACTTCAAGAGCGAGAACTCAACTTCGCATGCCATGTATGAGGACTTTGCTTTAATCCATAAATGCATTTATGGAGTTTACATACCAAGTTATGATTATCACTTTGAGGATGCCCAAGAGGAGCTTCATGAATACTTCTTCTTCAAGATCGTCATGCAAAAAGGCATTTTTTATGTTCATTTGAGACAAGGGCCATCCATTATTGATAGCAATGGACAAAAGGACTTAGACCGTGGTTATCTTGGCAACTTGGAGCAAAGGTTTTCTTGTAGTCGATACCATATTTTTGGGAAAAACCTTGAGCTACAAGACATGCCTTATGACGATCAACAAATCCATCGAAATTGAATTTGATTTTAAAAACCCATCGACTACCAATTGCATGTTTTTCATTTGGAAGAGGTACTATACTCCAAGTTTTATTTTTTGTAAGTGCTATCGGCTCTTCCTTTATGGCTCTCTTCCATACGGCTTGAGAGTGAACTTCTTAAAAGTTTTTCGACTCATGAACATTAGAGATAAGCTGTGAGAAAAGCTCGTGCGAAGGTGATAGCCTTTGATAAGTTAGACATTTAGTAAGAGGATACCGATTGTGTAGGCCACTTAATCTTTCAATTTGGTGGGAGGGTGACAATTCTATGGAGGATTACGCCCGGGAGCTAATGATTGACCTTGTGTATTAGATGATTCCCGCTTAGTTGAATTTGTAGGAGCTTCCTAGGGTACGAGCATAAGTAGTATTTAAGGCATTATTAGTGGCACATACAATCGATGAAGAATTATCAATTGTAACTTGAGTTGACGTATCATGTTTTTTAAGTAGATTAGCTGATTGTTCACGGTAAGGCTCAACATCTAGCAAGGGAAATAATTCGATCGAGCATCTCCCCTTAATTAGAAGTCGCAAATTATGGACTTGTTTCAACAAATCGAACATCTCTGTCGACATAGAATTTTTTAGTGGTAGCATCATAACACTTGTACCTCTTTTTTGTTTGTGAATAACCTAGGAATATGCATTTGATATCAAGTTTGTCATGATGAGTAACCGATATGTGCATGAAATAAGTACGACTAAAAATCTTTAAATGAGAGATGTCCGGCTTTTTGTCTCGTAATACTTCAAGAGGACATTTAGAATCCAGCACTTGACTAGGTAAATGGTTAACAAGATAAGTGGCAGTAAGAACTCCATAAGATAAAAAATACTTTAGAGCATTCATTTGAAGCATTATAGCTTTAGTCTTCTCTAACAAATCATGATTTTTATGTTCAGCAACCCCATTTTGTTGGGGTGAGTTAACACAACTAGTTTGATGCAATATTCCATTAGAATTTAAGTAATTTGTCATAAGATGTGTATTACAGTGCCATTATTAGATTGAAGAATTTTAATATGAGTTGAGAATTGAGTAGCAACCAACATGTGAAAATCCTTAAAATAACTAAAAACTTCACTTTTTGATTTCAATAAATATACCCAAGTAACTCTTGAAAAATCATCAATAAAGGTTACAAAATATTTAAAACCATCAATATAAATGGAAAAAGGTCCCATACATTTGAATGAACAAATTCAAATGCTTGAGTAGTTTTAGATAATGAAGAATTAAAAGGAAGCCTAGCGAGACTTAGAATAATGACAAATCTCACAATTATGAGCTCCTTAGGCAAATTTAGAGTTATTTTTGAAAGAAGAGACTCGATGGATGTGTTAGACAACGATGCCAAAAGAGATGCTCATTGATAGGAGAGGAAACGACTTGAAAACTTTTGGAAGCTCGAGAATCGGGAGAAAAATAGTTGAGCCTATGCAAATGAAATCCTTCACCAATCATCTTCTTGGTGACAAGGTCCCGAAATATAACCTTGTTAGGAGTAAATATAACTTCACATTTAAGAGAATATGTCAATTTTTTAACGAAAGCAACCGAAAAGGAAAAGAAGGAACATAAAGGACATCGGATTCTATATAATGCGAGACAAGGTTGATTTTCCCTTTACCCTTAATAGAAGCACCTTTCCCATTATCTACGAAACAAAAAAAGAATTTGGACAAGGATTAAAGTCACAAATATTGTTTAGCTTATTTGTCATATGGTCAATGGCACCAAAATCAACATCCCATAAATCATGCAAAGTAATTATTTCTAATGCGATCATAAAAGTAGTCGGAATACCTTGGCTATTTTTACGGTTTGCATCGATTAATGAACCAGCGAATTTACTTATTAGTGTAGTAGGCTCATCACGACCTTGGTTAATTAGCTCCATCTTGTATTATTCCACGATCGTGCTTTTCCTGTAAATAGCTAGCAAAGTCATTAAGCAAGGTAATAGGACGAGAGGAAAAAGATTTAGCGAGTATGGTTTGCTAAATGAGCCTTATGATTAGTGATTCGTTTTTGATCTCCTCCCTTCTTATCCTTTGCAAATTTGGGCTTCATCTCTAGGTGAAGGCTCCAGCAACGATCCATTGAATGTCCAGGAGAATTGCGGTATTCACATTTTAGGTTTGAACGCTTACCTTTGTAGAATTTTCACGTCGGAAGAATGATGAGCATAATAGGCACGAACTTTAGAAACACTAGAAGTAGCATTATGAGACATAACTTTTCGGCAAACTTCTTCACGTTGAATAGATGCACAAACACCTTTAAGGATGGAAGTTTAGCACTTATCAAAATATGATGCTTGAAGTCCTCAAAGTCGAGCCAAGACTCACTAATAGTTGAAAAACTCAATCTTATTCGGTTCATTTTTGCAAAACGACTGGATCGGTGGTGTGGGGTCGATAAACCTCAAGTTCATTCCATAAACTTTTAAATCTGTCGAATAAACTAACAAAAGGTTTTCCATCTTGATGAAGATTAGTAATATCTTGTTGAATCTAAAAAATTCGGGTAGGTTTTTTTATTTA